TGTCCTGGCAGTCGCGCACGGCCTGCTCCTGCTCTGGGGGAGCAGGAGCCCCGAGCCCCATGAGCGATGTGGGCTGCTCGGCTGGCGCTGCCTCCTCCGCCCGCCGAGCCCCCGCCCGCCACTGCGAGTGGTGGCGGCTCCCACCGCGGGGACCATCACGAAGGTGAACTTGACGAACGGGAGGCGAACGGGCGGGCGGCTGGGCGGATGAGGACGGCGGTGCAGAGGAAGGGCCGGCTCCCGCACGCATGGCCGCACAGCGGCCGTCGCAACAGTAGCACCTCGAGGCGCAGGTCCCTCAAGGGACGGCTTGTGGGCCAGGGCACGGGCCACGTGGGGCCGCTCGCCGTCTCCTCGGTGACGCCGTGCCGTTCCGTGGTGGGCTTGCCGCTGGAGGCGACCTCCTGCGCTGCTGCGACTGCTGGCCCGCGTTGCCTTTGCCAAGGGTGGCGCCGTGGAGGAATTGTACCTTCCCGTCGAGCGTTCGCTGGTCGGCAGATGCGCGGGGGGTGCTTCCGCTGGGGGGCACAAGCGCTGACTCCGCCGGGCCATGGGGAGGGCAGCTGTCCCGCGGGTGCACGACGCGCGCGGGTGGGGCTCTGCGGGGCGTGGGCTCCACCGCGCTGGTCGTGCCGCAGTACACGATGACCGCCCCCGAGTGCGGTGTCGTGTGATCAAGAGGAGGAGGAGGAGGAGGAGGAGGAGGAGGAGGAGGAGGAGGAGGAGGAGGAGGAGGAGGAGGAGGAGGAGGAGGAGGAGGGAGGAGGAGGAAAAGAAGGAGGAGGAGGAAAAGGAGGAGGAGTAGGGAGGAGGAGGAGGAGGAAGAGGAATAGGATGAGGAGGGGGAGATGGAGGAGGAGGAAGGAGTACGAGCTAGAAGGAGGAGGGTGTTGGGTTTCCCCTTTCCGGGTCCCCTTCCATATTAGCAGGCATTCTTTCAGCGATGGGGATAGACCGAGAGGAGGAGGAGGAGGAGGAGGAGGAGGAGGAGGAGGAGGAGAAGGAGGAGGAGGAGAAGGAGGAGGACGAGGAGGAGGACGAGGAGGAGGGAGGAGGAGTTGAGCAGGGACCGACCGTCCCATCACCCCTGTAGGCCTACCATGATATGTTCTTACAATCCCAAAATGTCCAACGAACAAAAACGTTGTTCTTAGAACATAAGCCCGACGTGCTAACACAAGACAGTCGAAGCCAGAAATGGTTCTAACAGTTCGTGGAAACCACACAAGGTTCTTAGAGCATCGTTTGGTAGGCATATAGGCACGCCAGGACGCTTCGCCACTGTTTGAAGGAGAGGCGAGGCGGCCCCAGACCCCCGACGGATTCCTTCGGAGGCCTGGGGCCGCCACGCCCCTCCTCCGACGGGGGTTGGAGCCAGAAGGGCCCTGGCGGACAGCGCCGACGACGACGACGCCGACGCCGACGTTGACTGCGCCGACGCCAACGCCGAGCGCCGAGGCCGAGAGCCGAGGCAAAGGCCAAGGCCGAGGACGACGACGACGCTGAGGACGACGGCGGCGGCAACGACGGCGACGGCGACGGCGACGGCGACGACGACGACGACGACGACAGAGTTCTGCTCTCCAATCTTCGAGCTGGCGGCTGCTTGCGCTCCGACGGGGGGGCAGGGGCGGGGAGTGCGCCAGCACAGGCCCGCCGCCCGCAGCCCAGGCGGGGGGGCTGTCACAGGAAGGCGGCGCCGCCCGGGGGCCCGCCCGCGCGGGGCCTCTCCGAGAAGGGGGCGCGCGCGCGGGGCGCGGGGCGAGAGGTGTACAAGAACGGCGCCCGTGCACCGCACTGTGTTGGGACTCTCGTTAGCTCCGCCCCATCGCCTCCTCCTCCTCCTTCTCCTCCTCCTCCTCCTCGCTTCTCCTCCTCCTCTTCCTCCTCCTCCTCCTCCTCCTCCTCCTCCTCCTCCTCCTCCTCCTCCGGCCCCTCCGACTCGTCATTTCTCCTCTTCCTCCTGCTCGCTCCTCCTCTGGAGCCTCGGACAAGTCGATCCCCCATCGCTGAAAGATAGCCTGCAGATATGGAAGATGGGGGCTTAAGTGGACTGGGAAAAGGGGGACCCACCACCCTCTTACTCCTCGCTCCTCCTCCTCCTCCTCCTCCTCCTCCTCATCCTCCTCCTCCTCCTCTTCCTCCTCTCTCCTCCTCGTCCTTTCCTCGTCCTTCCCTCCTCGTCTCCCTCTCCTCCTCCTCCTCCTCTTCCTCCTCCCCCTCCTCCCCTCTCCTCCTCCCCTCCTCCTCCTCCTCCTCCTCCTCCTCGTCCTCGTCCTCCTCGTCCTCGTCCTCCTCCTCCTCCTCCTCCTCCTCCTCCTCCTCCTCCTCCTCCTCCACCTCCTCCTCCTCCTCCTTCCGTCCTTTTCCCCCTCCTCCAGGGCGCGCTCCGGCCAGAACTCCGAGGAGGGGCCCATTCCAGGGCGACAAGGAGCTTCCCCAGAGGCCTGCGGACGCCAACAGCTGCTCGAATTAGGTCTCTGGTGCGAGAGCGGCTCCCACGCACCGTACCACGGTGGGACTCCCTTCAGCTCTGCCCCGACGCGGTACGGTGCATGGTTCTTCGGCTCCGAGGGCCGAGAAGCTAATTACGGTCGGGGACTTTGGGATAGCGTGTTGCGGCGGTGGCCCCAGCGACACGTGCAAGCGGATAGCGTGTTGCCCCGCTCCGCGGGGCGGGAGGCTGGGAAAGGTCCGGGACGTCGACGCCTTGAGACCGCAACGTGGACAGCGTGTCGCGCCGAAGCGTGGTGGGCCAAAAGCAGCGGAGCGACGCGCTGACCCCAGAGTCCGGAACCGCACGCCTCGCACCATTCCTGGGTCGAGGATCGACGACGCTTCGGGAAGCGCCGACGCGGGACGGTGCACACAGGTCGTCCGCGGAAGAGTGGCCCGCTGGAGCGCGGACGACGACGGCCGAGGCCCCCAGGAGCTCCCCTCGCCTCCGGATGCTTTGGCCAGCAGCCGCGCCTTGCCCCGAGCGTGCCCCTGGGGCTGCCCCGCAGGGCCCCGAGCGGCCGCCCTCGAGGCTCCGAGCTGCGGCCCGAAGGCCGACCTCCTCGCGCAAGGTGTAAGTCGGGCCTGTCCTCCTACAAGGGGGATTTTGGACGACAAACAAGCAATACTCAAAAAATAATCAAAAGATGCCCAAACACACTCAAAAAGTAGTCCTGTGACTATTTTTTGATTATTTTTGGATATTCCTGTAGAGGTACAGGCCCGATTTAACGCAAGGTGCAAGGCCACGACGGCGCGTCCTGCTGTAGCTTTTCGGCTTCTCGAGGCCCTCTGCCGGTCCTCGGGGCCGTCAAGACCGACTCGGGGTGAACGACATGTGTGCCTACCAGACTCCCCAGCCCAACTCAAAGACCCGAACTTCGGGTTGGGGGGGTACAGGCTTCATGTGTGCTCCAATGGTCCCCGATCCCCCCCTACTGGAAATGAGGCATATCGGGGCCTTCGGGTTGGGTTGGGGTGGTTTGGAGTGCGGCGGCAACAACTGTCCCAGGGAAGGGGTCCAGACCACCCGCCCACGTGCTCAAGAAACACAACGTCGGCATGCCCCCACTCACCGCTTGAGAAAGGGCCTGTTGGACTGGAACTGCTGCCGAAGTGTGGCGGGCAGTCCCTGCCCACGCACTTCCAACTCGACTTGATAGCTGCAGCACTCCCCTGATTAAACAGTCGAGGCTTCCTGGCCGTGGACAAAAAAGGAGAAGTAAGCACATCGACTAGCCATCGAGCACAACGTGTCCCAGAGCTGCGAGACGAAACACGTCTGGATCCGACTGGCTTGTGCGAGCGACTTCCCACTGGAAGAGGAGCACCGGGACTCACCAAAAGGGGGGGTGACCCTGATGAGGGGCATGAGTTCGATCCGCTGGTGCACCGAACTGCGGCAAACAGGTGACCCCCACATGCCCCACCTGTCGGCGACTGAGGGGAGCTGCCTGCGGCTGGCGGGCATCTGTTTTGGGCGGTTCGGTGCAAAAGCCGATCGAACTCGCACACACCCGGGGCACACACCCCTTGGCGGTATCCCGAGAGCAACAACATGAAGATGATGACCGATGCTGTTGGACGTCTTCGGCCACCGCCTCCAGAAGCCCGGACCGTGGACGCCCGCCGTCTCTCTCGAGACTGGCGTGCCTCCCCGGCGTCGGCAGCCAGGACGAGGAAGAGAAGGAGGAGAATGATCAGAGGAGAATCAAAAGATAGAAGGCAGAAAATCCACCCCCATAAGAATCACCCTGATACGCGAAGCCGTTTAGTAAACGCACCCACAAAAGGAATCGCACAGGGCAGGGCTGCTAAGTAAACGCCCAGGGCCGTATAGTAAACACCAATTATCGGGTCCGGGAGGTTTTCCTACCTTGAGGACAGGAGCAGAGGAGGGGAAGGAGGACGAAGAGAAGGAGAAGAGGAGAAAGAGGGGAAGGAGGAGGAGGAGGAGGAGGAGGGAGAGAATGTCTCGCGAGGCAGAAGTGAAAGCCTGCTCAGACATCCGAAGACGTCAAACCATCAGGGAGGGAGAAGGAACGGAAGAACAAAAGACTGCATACACATCGGAGGTCTGCTCAGAGTTCGTGGGTCGACGCTTGACCTGCCTCCTTGGTGCGCGAACCTCGCCAAGGGCGGCGCTAAAGGCGCTGCCAGTGGGAGGGGGGCCACCGCCGATCATTCCAAGAAATCAGGGCGGGCGCTCGAAAATGTTGATTCATGCAGTGTCTTGCTCTTCGAGAGAAGGATCACGCCTGCGCTCACGAAAGGCTTCCTAGTCCCAGATGGGATCCGATTAGATGGGGTCGGAGGGTCGCGCCGCATCGGCGATGCATCGGGGCGACGCTGGTGATGCATCGGCGCTGTCGTCGTGAAGAAAAGCGGGGTCCACATCGAACCGCGTCGCCGATGCATCGGCGATGCGGCGCGATCCTACGACCTCGTCTACTCGGACCCCATCCGGGAGGCTAGAACTCTCCGAGGAGGGCCACGCCTGCGCTTTCTGCTCTGGCGCTTTTTTTTGAGGGAGAAGATGGGAGCGGACCGCAAGATTCAAGAACCACCGTCGTAACGCGAATGCCGGTTGCACTTGAGAGCCATTTTCCTTCCTCACCAACTGTGTGGAAACGGAGGCAGAAAACGACAAGGCAGATAACACAATATACGAATTCGCTGGAAAACGTATCACCCCCGTGCCAGAGAGCTGGCAGCAGTGCTGAGATGATGGCACTGTCTGCTCTGGCGCGTGGCGGTCGCCACCCGAGCCAACCCACCCGGCCCGCCTGCCCCCCCGGGGGTCGCGGAAACGATCGTACCACGGAGGGGGGGCCTGGGCCCCCGCCCACATGCCGGTGCTCGCGCGCAGCTCGCCATCGCTCGGACGCCCGTTCCCCGTGCGTTGCTCGATTGTCGTGCGCGCTCTCATGCGCCTCGATGGTCCAGGACGCTCCTCTCGATGGCCCTCGCCGAAGCAAAAAAAACGCACACGCCCGAGCGATGCCAAGGCACACGATGGCGATCGCCGCGCACCCCCGCCCCGACGCGCCCCTTCTCCCCGCCAAAGCATTACCGTCACCAGGGGCCCCCAGCCTCCCCTCTTTGGGCGCCCGAAATGGGTATAGAAAGAAGGGGTACAATGCCCAACGACACATGCTGTCCCAAACCAACAGCGGCCGCTGTTTGGCAGGCGGCCTTCTGTTTCAAACGGACACAGGCCGCGGCGGCGCGGACAGCGAGCCGTGTTCAAAATGAACAAGAACTGCTGTTGGGCATTGTACCCATTCTTTCCGTACCCTTGTCGGTCGTCACGACCCTCCACCCAGCCCCGGAAGGGCAACGACCGTTGCTGGAAATCCGGCACCGCGCTTGCAGCGATTGGGCTGCGCCGGCCCTTCCGGCCTCGGCGCAGCGGTACCCTGAAAGGCCCCCCGGCGCAGCGAGCCCCCAAGATGAGCGCATTCTCGAAAGCAAGCTGCTGCTTTTGTCCGCCTTCCGGGCATGGTACCGAACACGAGGCCTGGGGCAAGGGGTCCCGTGCCCCCCCCCACCACACTGCCACCCTCCCCCCCACACCCGAGCGCAGTGGCGGAATCGCGAGGCAGCGTAATTGGATAAGAATAGCTATATATGTGTGTATATGTGTATATATATATATGTATATATATATATATAGATACACAGATATATCTATATATATATATATGTGTATATGCGAAGCAAAAAGAAGCGGGGCCCCCCTCCGCGGGCCTCGCCCGGTCGTGCATTGGCAGTGGCGGGGAGCCCAGCAGCGCCACGTGCCGCGGTTCGCCTGGGCTCGCTGCCGCTGGCAGGTGCGCGCGCTTGCGGGCAGCACGCCGATCCCGTCGGCCGTGAACCCAGGCCTTCAGTGGGCCTTGGAAACGGCAAAATCTGTGTTTTTACCAGTGCCGCTCTTGCGTTTGATGTTCCCGGCTCCATCGCCGTTTCTTTTTGCCGGTTCCGTCGCCGTTGTTTTTCCAGTTCCGTCCCAGTTCCAGCTCCGGTTCCTGCTCCGTCGTTTTCGTCGTGTCGGAGAGCCGTTGCTTTTTTACCGTCTACGTACTCAAAAGCAACATGAAGGGAAATTGTAAAACAAGCCCTGCTGTTTCCAAGGCGCGCTAAGCCCAGGCACCCTCGCGTTGTGAACAAATCGCGACGGACGGCTTTGTCAGGTTTCAGCCTCCAGTGGTTCTTAATTGGGCTCCGAGGCAATCGAAAACGACTCGGGGTGAAAAGTCGGCTGCGGGGGATGGGGTCGAGTCTTCTGCGCCGCCTGCTCCACCTCTTTCGTCGTCCAACTCCAACCCTCCTCATCCTTCTTCCAATCTTCTTAGACGTCCTCCCCCTTGCCCCCTCCTCCCCATCCTCCTCCTCTTACTCCTTGCTTCCCCTACGTACTCAATTGTCCTCCCGTCCGTCCGCCTCGCCCTCCTCCTGCTCCTGTCCACGTCGTCCACCCCCCATCTCGTCGTCGTCGTCGTCCAACTCCTCCTCCTCCTCCTCCTCCTCCTCCTCCTCCTCCTCCTCCTCCTCCTCCTCCTCCTCCCAGTCTCTTTTTTCCCCCCTAACCCCCTCTCAGTTCTCCTTCCTCTTAGTATCCCCTCCTCCTCCTCCCTTCCCCCTCGACCTGGCGGCAACAGAAACGACGAAGATAACGACGACGACGACGACGACGACGGCGACGGCGACGGCGACGGCGACGGCGACGGCGACGGCAACGGCGACGGCAACGGCGACGGCGACGGGCAAACGGCGGCGGCCGGGAACGACCACGACGCCCAGGGCGGCGCGATGGGCAGAGCAATCGACTCGCCTGCTGCGGCCGCGCCAATGGTGGCCCCAAGGCCGCCTCCCGCCTGCTCCTTTCGAGGGCCATCTTTGTTGTCGTCGTCGTCGCTGCCGCCGTCGCCATCGTCGTCGTCGGCCTCGTCGCCGTCGAAATTCGAAAAGGTTGTTTCGCCATTCGGCATCTGGGGGCCCGTTTCGGGCTTCGGGATCACCGGAACTCGAATAGGGATGACAAATCGGGTGAGATGGACCGCAGGAGGGGTCGGGAGTCTATTTGAGCGGATTTTGATCGCCGCCACCGTCGTCGTCGTCGTCGTCGTCACCGACGCCGTCGTCAACGACGTTTGTCGACGTCGCCGTCGATGTCGTCGTCGCCGTCGCCGTCGTTGTCGACGCTGGTCGGGGTAGTCCACGGATTTATTCTGCGCGGATTTTGGTCGCCGCCGTCGCCGTCGTCGTCGGTGTCGTCATCGAGGCCGCCGCCGCCGTCGTCGTTGTCGGTCGTCGGCGTCCTCGTCGTGTCGGGGTTCGAAGGCACGTTTATCGCTGTTCTTCAGCAGAGGCAGAAACATACCAAGGTGGACCCGCCCAGGAGAGACGGGATTTTACGTTTAGCGGGTTTGGGTTGCCGCCACCGCCGTCGTCATTGTCGTCGTCGCCGCCGCCGACGTTGTCGTCGTCGTCGTCGGTTGTCGTCGTCATCGTCGTCGTCATCACAGGAGGCGCCGTCGTTGTCGCGTCTAGATTTTGTCGGCGTCTGGGGTTCCGTTTCGAGCCGCACGACCGCCACACATCGATCCATGGTGAGAAAAAATACGCGGGATGGGCAGCATGGATAATACATATCTGCATGTTGACCGGTTTTTGGCAGCCGCAGTCGCTGCCGCCGCCGTCGTCGTGACGTCGTCGTGACGTCGTCATCATCGTCCGTGATGTTGTCATCGTCGTCGTCGAGGTTCGCAGAGATTCAAATAATTGTTTTTGCCATACTTTGCGTCGGAGGGCTCATTTCAGGCTCTGGGGCCGGCAGAAATCGGCCAGGGATGAAAAACTGCCTGGGATAGAGCCCGGGAGGGGTTCGCATATGTCGTCGCAGCCACCGCCGCCGTCGTCGGTGTTGTTATCGTGTTGGCGGTGGTGGTGGTGGTGGTCGTCGGTGTTCTCATCGTCGTCATTGTCGTCGTCGTCGGTGTTGTCATCGTCATTGGCGTCGTCGTCGTCGCCGCCATTGCTGTCGTTGTCGTCACGCCGATCGCGACGTCACGGTCCAAAAGCAGAACCTGTCCAACAAGTTTAGCAGAAATTCGAGCACAATGAAAGTCATTGATGTTGAACCCGTTTCTTCGAAAATTGCAGTTTCTCCTGAAAGCTCCTCCAAACATCGAGCGCCTTTTCAACACGATTCTCAAAACAAGCTTCGCCTGAGACATCCTCCCACAAACGAGCCCCGACGTACAACGCACATGATACAGAGAATACACACACCACACATCACACACAACACACAACAACCAGAGAACACACACACACACTTTTCGGTCGTCGCGGCCCGGCGACTCGCCAAGGTGTTCGGCATGCGGCCGACGGCCGAGCGCGCATTAGTCGGAACACACACACACACATAGCACACGCATCACGCACAACACACCCAACATAAGCAACACACACGCATCTAACGCACATACAGTACACCTAACACACATAACATGCGGAACACGCAGGATCCACACATAACTCACACAGCACCCACACAGCACACACACCACACGCACACATCACACACCACACACACACAAACACCACACATAACACACACACACACACCTGACACACCGCAGACACATCCTGCAGATGTGTTTGTGTGTGTATATGTACACAAACATGAACAAATCAGAGTGAGGGGGCCAAACGGTCATTCATTGTCCCTGGGTGCGTGGCTGAAGTGGGGATCCGTGGTGAGGATTCTGCTTGTTGCGTTGTTGCCTTGTTGTTGTTTGTTTGTTGTCGTCGTCCCACCCGCGACCCACCCGCGACCCGATCCGCGACCCACCCTGCGACCCACCCCGCGACCCACCCCGCGACCCACCCGCGACCCACCCGCGACCCACCCCGCGACCCATCTGCGACCAACCCGCGACCCACCCGCGACCCACTTGCGACCCACCCGCGACCCACCCCGCGACCCACCCGCGACCCACCCGCGACCCACCCACGACCCGACAACGACCCGCCCGCGACCCACCCGCGACCCACCCCGTAACCCACCCGCGACCGACCCGCGTCCTACCCACATTGGTTTAACGAAAAAATCGGCGCTTGCGGCGGGCTCGTTGTATAATATGTGAAACTTTGGAGCCTGCGGCGGGCTTTTCCAGAGTCTCGCAGACTGCCGACGTCCCCATCACCCCCTCACTCTTATCCGCATCTGCGGAGTGCTACGGTATGACATGGTGCCTTGTATGACTGCTCTTAGCATATCTGTTCTTGGTGTATGTTTTCGATGTCTTCTCTAGAAGACTATGGACGTAACTGCGTTGTACCGTGACGCATGTCGTGTTGTTCTTGGTGCCTGTCTCAGGCGGCCGCGGCATGCACGATGGCCGGCGAGGCGAAACGCCTTGGATACTCGGGAGGCCGCGTGCAGGGCTGGCGGACTGGCCTTCCCATAATTCTCACAAGCTTGACATGCCAGGCGGGGAACAGTCCAACAGATCAAACGCGCCGCACGTAGAAACAGCGTACCACAGAATGGGATCATGACTAGCCCCGGTGCCAGCGTGTCGCCCATCTCGGCGGCCACTTCTGCGGGGTCCCTGGCTCCAGGTCGTTCTCGCTCCAGCTCGCGGGGCCCGCGGGGCTTTGCAGCATCACCATGGAGAAGCACCTGAAAGGGTCCAGCCATGTTTCTGTCCCCTGCCTTGCCCGCGTCTCTTTGTCGCCCCGCCCCGCTGTCGGAATAAGAGATGCAGGGGCCCGCGCTGCCACGCTGGCGAAGCGCCGGGCAACTTCCCTCTTTTCTGCGACACTACTGCAGTCTTGGACTCCCCGGCACTCTCTCCAGGCTGTCCATGGACCCTTGTTATCCCTCGGCCTTCGGCGGTTTCCGTCACGGAAGTTGGATCGTTGTATTGACAAGAGGTCAACGATCGATCACCCAAGATCGGGAGAGCCTTGGTGAACACTGGTGGCGAACGATTCTGGGCCCCTGGAGACCGTCATGCGGAAACGACCCGCAATGAAGACATGGGGGGACGATGCGAATCAGTCCTCGGAGGCCACGACCTGTTGCGATCGCTTGCTCGCCACAGCACCCCTGCCTCTGACCAGCTCCAAAAGTCCCACAGACCTTCCCCGACCTCGAACTCATCCATGCTTCTCAGCACGCGGGCCCTGGAACCCCCGACCTGCCTGGGAGGCCCGAGCAAGGCCGAAAGCTTCCCAGAGGCCGAACAGGATGAAAAGCCTCAGCCCTGTTACCGGAATACTTTGCTGGAGGACCGACCGCTTCGAAAACAGCGCGATCAAACATCACGAACGGAGCCCAAATGCCCAATCGTTCTGCATCATGTCCTGAGTCGGACCGACCCGCGAGGGCCCGGAGGCGGACGAATACGCCCGGCAGGGAAAGTGGGGCGCTCAAATCTCAAGGCCGGAGGCCTGTGGACCCTCTGCGTGCTGTCGTCGGACCCTCTTCTTGGGGGAGCGACCCTCGCATTCGGACGAGCCTCCCGCCCGATCGGGTCGGACGAAAGTGTTTTGCCTATGATGATGATGCTGATGCTGATGCTGCTGCTGCTGCTGCTGATGATGATGATTATGATGATTATGATGATGATGATGATGATGATGATGATGATGATGATGATGATGATGATGATGATGATGGTGCTAATGATGATGACGATGATCATGATCATGATGATGATGATGATGCTGATGCTGATGATGATCATGATGATGATGATCATGATGATGATGATGATGATGATGATGGTGCTGATGCTGATGACGATGTTCATGATCATGATCATGATGATGATGCTGATGATGATGATGCTGATGATGATGGTGGTGCTGATGATGATGATGATGATGATGATGATGATGATGATGGTGCTGCTGCTGATGATGATGATGCTGCTGCTGCTGCTGCTGATGATGATGATGATGATGATGATGATGATGATGATGATGATGATGATGATGATGATGATGATGATGGTGCTGATGATGATGTTGCTGGGGCCGAGGCAGCAGCGGCCCCCGAAATGCGGCCTGGGGGCGCAGAGCTCCCCGGGCTCCCCGGCAGCAGCCGGAGGTCCGCTGCACACCACGGTGCCAGCCCTCGACCCACAGACACGCGCGCTCCGATGCTCGTCAAGTAGCCAAACAAGATCCTCAAAAATGCCCCAAACTACTCCAAACGTCGTCCCCGGACTAATTTTGGACTAGAGGGACAGGCCCGACTTGAGGTTAGAAGGGAAGAGGCAGGTGGGGGGAAGGGGCCGCGGGGGACGAGCTCGCTCCCCGGCGCGGCCCCTCCCTGGGGGCGCCCCAAGGAGCCGCGCCCCAGGGAGGCGCCCTCACACTTATCCCTATCCCTGAGATGTACACGCCAAAAGGCGATGACAATCTTAGGGATGCACCCTCGGAAACTGAGGGGATCCCTAAGATCGCCATCGTGACGAGGCGATGCCCAACATAGGGATAGGGATAGGTTCCAGGCTGGTAAAATGACCTGGATCTGCCGCGGGGGGCTTTCCGATACATGACGTCGAGGCAAACAACTGTTGTCGAACGCTTGCGAGCATGCACGTCTTCGAGCAGTGGGATGCGCTCGGCGAAGCCAAGCGTTCGCATCTGGCTTGCTGCTTGAAGCATCGTCAGCATGCCGGGTCGGACGAAAGGGGAGGCTATGACTACCTACCAGACCACCCCAACCCAACCCGAAGACACGAATTTGACCCGAAATTCGGGTTGGGGGGGGGTACGGGGACCATGTGATTTTCGATGTTCCCCGATCCCCCCCAACTGGAAATGGAGGGCAAATTGAAGCCTGCGGGTTGGGTTGGGGTGGTTTGGTTGGTGGTGAGGCTAGCAAAGGGGGGGTAGCGAACCAGCTCAAGCCACTGATTTTCCAGGCGACTCCTGGCGCCGGAGAGGCGCCGACTGCATCGAGGAGGGCGCCGGGCGGCGGAGCCGCCGAAACCTGCTGCGTGCAGCAGGATCGCGTACCCCCCGCGTTCCCCCCTCGCCCCCCCTTCCCGTTCGTCCGGCCCGGCAGCGCCAAACAGTGCTCCGCTGCTTCGGGCTAACCGCATGCCGCGGATAAGAAGGTGACCCCCCCCCTTTTCGCCCCCCCCTTCTATCTGATGATCCACGGGGTGTATGTGGGTTCAAGTTGCCACAGGAGGCGCGGGGGGCGAACTGTGGGCGAACTTTGTCATCACCTCCACAGTTCGCATCGTCGCTCTGATCTTCATATCATGCATTGCACCAGGAGCAATCCTTATTAACAATGTCGTGAACTTGGTATCTCCGTCATTTTAAGAACGACCAGCACAGACATCCCAACATCGATACCTCCCATTAAAAAATGATCCTCCCAGGACCCCGAACATTATTATCCCCAGGGTGCGATTCTCACCAGTATAGGGTTAGATACATATGACTTAAACTGGGTGGCAGAGATTGGGCAAATCTCAAAACAGAGAGGCGCAGCGCCGAAAATGACGGAGCTTCTTGGGAGGATGAAGCCTCCGAGCCTGCTTGAGGCTGGCGATTTTGAACTGCCCTTGAGACCACACGCGGCGACCTGTCCTCCGACCCGGCCCGAGACTCCGCCGAGGCTTCCGCCGGCCAGGGCAGCGCTGCCTCCCGTCAGTGGTCCAAAGATGGGGTCCTGAGGGATGGGGTCCCGAGGGGGAGGGGAGCGTAAACCCACCCCTGGGCCCCTTCCTATCCTTCGGACCCCATCCCTGAGGACCCCATCCTTGAACCACCGATCCCTCCCCCTCCCCTCTTTCGGCGACGGCGACGGCGACGGCGACGGCGACGTCGTCGTCGTCGACGACGACGACGACGGCGACGACGACGACGGCGACGACGACGACGGCGACGACGACGACGGCTCCGCCGAGGCTTCCGCCCGCCAGAGCGGCGCTGCCTCCCGCCGGCCTCCGCGGGCGCTCCGACAGGCCGCCTCCCCGGAGGACGGGAGGCCTCGCCCTCCCAGGGAGGTCGTGAGGCAGCGCGGGGCGGAGGCGTCTCTCGGAGCGTTTCGGCCTCCGGGGCGCGTCTCTCCGGGCCCCCGGGGGCCGCGGGCCAGAAGAAGCCTGGGGCGAAAGGAGCAGCGCCCTGCGAGGCATGGCCGAAAGCAGGCCGTGCGTGTGGATACGGTCGCGCCCCAGGCTCACCTCTTCCTCCCGAGACCCTCCTGTGTGTTAACTGGGCTCTCGTTCTGAATGGGGGCAGCGTGGTCGCGTCTCCTTCCCGCCTCTCCTCCTCCCCCTCCTCCTCCTCGCTCGTGCCTCCTATCTCCTCTCTCTACTGCCCTCTGCCTCTCTCGTGGGCTCCTGGGAAGGAGGCTTCCTCCTCTCTCCTCTTCCTTCTCCTCCTCCTCCCTACTCTCCTGCGTCCTGCCTGCCCCGCGTCCCCGTGCAGACCTCGCGGCTCCATGTGGAGCTGCGAAGAATTGTTTTTTGGCCAGGAAAAAGAAAGCTGCAGACCTCCCAGGAGCCCACTTCTGTGCGATCCTGAGAGATCGCGCTGAATAGTTGCACGGGGACCCAGTTGAGATCTCGCGGCTCCCCGGGGGGCTGCGAAGCGTGAAGCTGTCGCCACGTTCGTGGGCTCCTGGGAGGTCGCGCGGAGTGGAGTTACACGGGGACCCAGTTGAGATCTCGCGGCTCCCTGGGGGGCTGCGAAGCGTGAAGCTGTCGCCACGTTCGTGGGCTCCTGAGGGGTCGCGCGGAGTGGAATTGCACAAGTGACCCAGTTCAGCCCTCGCGGCTCCCTGAGGGGGCTGCGAAGTGTAAACTGCGGCCACGTTTGTGGGCTCCTGAGGGGTCGGGCGGAGAGGAGTTGCATGGAGACCCAGTTGAGACCTCGCGGCCACCTGGGTGGCCGCGAAGTGTGAAACCGACGCCACTTTCGTGGGCTCCTGGGAGGTCGCGCGGAGTGCAGTTACACGGACCGTGCACGGGGTCCTAGTTGAGACCTCGCGACCCCCTGGGGGGCTGAGAAGTGTGAAACTGACGCCACTTTCCTGGGCTCCTGGGAGGTCGCGCGGAGTGGAGTTACTCGGGGACCCAGTTGAGACCTCGCGGGCTTCGGGGGCTGCGAAGTGTGAAACTGACGCCACTTTCGCGGGCTCCAGGGAGGTCGCGCGGAGTGGAGTTACACAAGGGACCCAATTAAGACCTCGCGGCTCCCTGGGGGGGGGCTGCGAAGTGTGAAGCTGTCGCCACGTTCGTGGGCTCCTGGAAGGTCGCGGATTGCAGTTACACTGGAAACACAGTTGAGACCTCGCGGCTCCCTGGGGGGCTGCGAAGCGTGAAAGCCGTTGCCACGTTCGTGGGCTCCTGAGGGGTCGCGCGGAGTGGAGTTACACGGGGACCCAGTTGAGACCTCGCGGCCCCCTGGGTGGCTGCGAAGTGTAAAACTGCGGCCACTTTCGTGGGCTCCAGGGAGGTCGCGCGGAGAGGAGTTGCATGGGAACCCAGTTGAGACCTCGCAGGCTTCGGGGGCTGAGAAGCGTGAAGCTGTCGCCACGTTCGTGGGCTCAAAGGAGGTCGCGCGGAGTGGAGTTACACGGGGACCCAGTTGAGACTTCGCGGCTCCCTGGGGGGCTGCGAAGTGTGAAACTGACGCCACGTTCGTGGG